TTCCAGCCAAAAAGCACTTGTCTTCCTATAATCATAGCTGAAGACCATTTTTTTATACTTTCTGTGATAACACAGTTCAGGAAGGCTAAGCAAATCAATCTTTTCTTAAAGATACTGACTCCAAAGTAAAACTCTAATATGTTCCCTTATTTGTAAAGGTAATTCAGACAGCTAAATTTCCAAGGGCTTATTGAATTGAGTGTGTATGTTTAATATTTCATTTAGGACTAAAGCGTTCCCTGGTGTACAGAGAAAAATAAGTTATGACCTTATGTTTGCAACTTTGAAAGGGCAAGAGGGGTAATTAAGTGCAGAATTTGGGTCACTGTATGTATCTGTGTCATGGTTTAACCTCAGTCGGCAACTGAGCACCACGCAGCCGCTCGCTCACTCCCCCCCCTGCCCCCAGTGGCATGGGGGAGAGAATTGGAAGAGCACAAGTGACAAAACTCATGGGTTGAGATAAAAACAGTTTAATAATTTAAATAAAATAATAATAATAATAATAATACACAAAGCAAGTGATGCACAGTCAATTGCTCACCCCCCGCCGACCGATGCTCAGCCAGTCCCCAAGCAGCAACTAGTGTAAGCACTACCTAGCAACAACTAAAACATCGGTGCCTTATCAACTTTGTTCTCACCCTAAATCCAAAACCCAGCACTGTACCAGCTACTAGGAAGGAAATTAACTCTGTCCCTGCCGAAACCAGGACAATCTGTCAAACTGGAACCATTAAGTTAGTTTCTCTTCACCCCCACCTCCCCAGATAAGTGATGATTAAATTCAGTGGGTTCCAAAGCAGCTTTAAAAAAAAGTCAATTCTATCTCCAGCATTCTCTGTTGAACTTACATTTCAAGAAATAATTGCACTTCGTTTGCTCCCTCCTCTAGCAGTATTTAAGATATCTCTTGCGAGTTTGCAGACATGTTGGTAAAGTTATATAAGTAGCTGCAAAATAACATTTTTAAATGTGTTTCATATCTTGCCCATTTTCGTCTCTTCTCGGGAATTATCCTTGGTTCCAGATTTATTGTGATTACTTTTCTTTTGGTAGTGTAGTAATGAAGTATGTAAACCAGCCTGACACTGGCTTATATCTTCAAACCTATAGACAAGTTTCCGAACAAAAAGTAATTTGGAACTTAACTTCACGTGTTAGCTTCACTTAAACATTGCTTGTCCCGGCGCTTGGCCTTGAAAAGTTGCTTTCTTTTAAACATGTTGTAGCGTCTTGCAAATAACAGCTTTTCTATTCCCATTGCTGGCAAAGGCGGTCCTTGAAGAGAATAGCTGGTACTGTATCTTGTGCACTTGGGACTTCTGGCTGTGTTTTAAGTGAAGCCCTGTAGTTGCCAGAACTATTTCTGAAGCTGCATTTATTACAGCGGGTCGTAGAGTGGACATAGGTAGAATGAGAAGAGACCTAGGAACCGCGGCAGAAGCAGGTATTGCAGCCTTCAAGTGGAGAGCGGAGTGGCTGGAGCTGGGGAAGCGGGAAGAAGTTCTCTCCCTCTGTTGTGTTATTAAGGAGTTGCCCCAGGGAAGGGGCCAGGCACACAGCGTCGGGCAGAAGAGCAGCGGTTTGAAACCGCTCCTTGGGCTGGAACCTGGGGAAGGGGATGCCTACGTTTGGGATGTAGCATGCAGTCGTACACCGCGTCATTTTCATATGTCAACATACTTGTGTGTAGGGCACGTCATTCCTGTTCATGCTCTACTATAGCAGCTGAGGCATGCCTGTTCAGATGCAGGGCTGGGCCTTACTGAGTGATTTGGGACCCAGGGTTTCAATTCCTTTCTGATTTTATACAAATCCCAATATAGAGGCTGTGATTATCTAGAAAAAAAAAGACGCTTCAGCTCCTGAGTCATAGAAAACTGTAGGAAGATTTATCCAGTGTTTATAGACTTCTAGTTAGGCTTCTTTTGTGCAGCCAGGTGTTACTTATGAAGTGATTTGAGATTTTCAACAGTGATGGATGAGCTTCTGACATAATATAGAGGGAAAAAACACTGTATAACCTTAAGAAGCCGCTCTATTTGCTGTGTGATTAGCAAGCTTCTATATGGAAGACCAAAGAGAGCTGCAACTATCTCTGCACAAACTTTTCTTTTTTTCTGGATGTAAACTGCCACAGAAAACTGTTTGTCTCTTTCTTTCTTTTTTTCTTTTTTCTTTTGTTTTTTTCTCTTTTATTAGTATGTTTTCAGAAAAAGATGTTTTTTATGTTTGCAGCCTTAAGGTCTGCATCAAAATTACGAGATAACCACTGCAACCTGGCATTTGCTGTACTGAGGAAGGCATTTAGGAGCTAAAATATTCCTGGGACATGAGACTGTGTGACTTGGATTTAGATAGAGTAACTTTTGTTTTCCAAACCTTCCAGTTATGCACTCCTTTCCCACACAACATGTAATATTAACCAACTGCAAAGTATAGGTTTTAAAGCAGTGGTAAAGGGGAGGACAGTCATTTCTGAAGGATGTGGGGAGAGAAAAATATAAATTTTGGAGGTAAGTCCCAAAGCCACAGAGGAGATGTACAAAGAGGGCAAAACCAGTAACAGTAATAGTCTTCTGGACCGATTCCAAACACTCAGAGTCAGTATAAATGTGAAACCCAAATGGCCCGTTTGTAAACAGCCCGTTTGCAAACTGCTTGACCATATATTGCTCCTTTGTCAGTCTAAGTCCTCTCAAAGAGCTGACTGCTCTTTCTCAAACTGCTAATTTGAGAAATTTAGCAGTTAATGTTTTTGTATGTGATCCCCACGAATATTTGGACTCAGATGACTCCTCCATAGGACCAGAAGAAATCAGTGTACCGCATCCTTCTTTCTTTGCCGAGGATAATGAATTCCATTAAAAATTAACAGCAGAGACCAAAAAAATGGAACTGTACAGAACAGCCATGCCAGAGATAGCATTTCCACTGGGGAGTGGCACAGTCCAAGTGGCTGTTGAGAAGACTCTTTTGACAGCATTTTCCTTCAGAGTGTAGCGGGATGCAAGCCAAGGCAGGCAGAGAGGTGAAATCTATAGGAGGAAAAATATGAAGCGATCAAGGCTAGGCAGGTATGCTTATTTGCATATACACATTTATGTACTCCGATGCTTCAGAGAAGCTCCCTTCAATCAAAAACTATTTTAGCTCTTGAAGGCTAAATATAAATTCAGTTTAAACACCTCAATGCAGGAGCCTTTATATTTATATTATTTATATTTATATTTTATATTTATATATACTTATATTCACATGTATACATACACAAATACAGATTTTTTTTAAATAGGGACCACATCTTAATGCCTCACAAGTTTACTGCTCCCATTGGTGATTATGTAAGACATTTCCCTGAATCCTGAATAACCAAATGAATTAGATCCCTTTCTTTTTTCCCTTCTTACTGTAGAAGAGCAATGGTTATTTACCTGAGAGACAGTGATACACAAAAATTCCTTACAAGCTTCTTTTCTTCAGTCTGCTAAATTTCACTGTGAAGAGAAGGACTGGTATTCCGTTCCTCCATACCAAGACTTTTCAGGCCACTAGCGCAGTCCATGTGATTCCCCTTTGGGAACCCACGTGATAAAGGGATTGTCCAAATGATATTGCTAGAAACAGTATGTGAGTTGGTTTGTGTACGTCTGTTTTTTTGTTAAATTAGGTAACAGTGTTAAATAAAACAATTTTTCAAGGTCAAATAATATTCGAACATCAGCTTTAAGTTAATGATGCTAGGGACACAGCATGACACAAATGTCAAAATGAAAAGCATTTGGAGGGTTAAAATATCCATAGGTCAGGCTCGGTATGTACACATTCAGCAGAAAACTGAGAACAGCCTGTCAGTTTTTACCTCTCCTCCTTTCCTATCCTTCGTTTCAGTGCCGGTGGTTCTCCAAACAGGACTTTATTTTCACAGTTTACCTGCCTGTCTTGAGAAGTTGAAGCACTGTGAGTTACTGCCATGCCCGCATCCAGAGCGTGGGCACAGGTCTTGGCCTCGCTGCGAGGCAGGTGTGATACCTAAAAGCCCTTTGGTTTTACAGAGTTTGAACTTCCAGGCTTAATAATGTTTAACTTTATTGGGTTTAATTATGTTTGGTTGCAACAATCTTGGTAAAAGCATCCAGGGGAATAGCTTATGGTTCAAAGGTGCAGGGCCTTGGGTAAGTGTGTTAAGCAAAGCTATTTACAGGTGAAACGCCAGGTAAATCTCCGCTTTCTCGCCGTTCCAGTTCTGTATAATCTCAAACACTTGGTGCCCCCCTGTGGCTTTACAAATTATTGCTACTTGTTAAGACTCGCTATGGAGAAAAGTACTTGCATCCAGACATGAATTCAAAATTCTTCCGGAATTTTGATTTGTGTTTTACTGAATAGTCTCTATTTTTCCTTGCTTTTATTTCTTTCAAAGTCCTGAAAAAGCCTTTAGTGCAAAAAGTGGACATAAATACCTGCTATAAAAGGTACAGCATGGGTCCGGAGTTTTCTTGTACAAACTACTTGCAGTAAGCCAAATCTTAAATTTTTGTTTTATTCAGTTCTTACCCACGTAAATTTTGATGAAATTCAGTTGGTGATTACATTCAGCGGACCAGTTGTGAAATTCTTATCTCATTGAATGTGATTTTTTTTATGGCTTTGATTTCCAAGAACTAGTATATGCCATGTGAAATTTTGCCGAGCTGTGTAAAAGACATCAGCTTGGTTAAGGCTATAGAATATGAGGATAGGAGGAGACAGTAGAAGATCATTACAACACGTGTGCATATTTCACACACGTTTTCCATGCCCTTATGCATACGAGTATCTGTATGTATACGTATACCTCTGGTCAATTTTCATAGCTGTAAATTCATGCTATTGATATTAGCAGAACATTCAAATGCCTTGGAAAGGATTGGGCATGTCATTGGTCTCACTCCTGACTCAAAGAGCTTTCAGTCTAATTTTAGAGGGAGACGATAAAGGGATGTAACAAACAGCAGAGAGGAAGATTGGCTGGTTGCACAGGGTACCAGTACGCCCAATGTGAAGGTTTTGAATCAATGTTTTGATTCAATGTAAACAATGTTTTTATATTTTAAGAAATAAACAAACAGCAGAAAGCTATGATTAAGATTGCAAAATGTGTTTTCCTTTCTTTTTTTCCCCCTTTTCTGTAATTTCTGTTTTGCCTTGTTCTTGCCCTTTTGGAAAAAGTTCCTGTGAGATGAAACATTCCACATCTAACCCTGGCCCAAAGTGAAACGTTTCATTTTTGTTTGATATCTGTCCTTGAACTTGCAAAAAGGCAAAGTGCAAAGGAAGGCAAAGACATGGAGTTTCTACATGTCGTAGAATTTGCAATCATAAATACATAGAAGTTAAGGAACTTTTAAACATCATTTTAGATGTTGCTGATAATTTTTGGTGCAGACTGACTATTGCATGAAGACAAACTGTAATTCTAATAGCTGGTTGCTGCTGTGGGTGGTGAGCACTAAACCGATGATAGCCAGTGAGAGGGGGACTGGATAAGGTACTGCAGGTACCAGATGAGGATACAGGTTCTTTTTTTCCAAGTGCTTTTGAATACATTTTCTGTTTGGGAGGAAGCGAAATGTGGTATGAGTATGCAAGCATCACTGACTGATGTTAAGACTTCCCGGCTGGTTGTTAGTATGCCCGTTGGTATTTTTCCCATTTGTTTGATTTTGGAAGAGCACTGGTTTCCTATGCTTCAAAATAATTGCTCTGGCTTGGTGTCCAATGTCACTCTTTTTTCCCCGGTAACTTCTAAACAGGTTGGCTGAGATGTGCTATCCATTTGCTTGATTATACTGCCATCACCTTTCTTTTCAACTGAACCTGAACACCCAGGTCAGAAGAGTGAGCAAGTTCTCCCCTTCTTCACAGTTATTCTCATATGAAGTGAACTAGTCTAAAAAGTGTATCTTTCCAGCTTGTTTTGCGCTGGAATTGTGATCATTTTCTCTCTCCGTATCTGTGCATCTCCCCCTTTCCCCACAATAACTTTTGGACTCTTTAGCCATTCCCAGCCGAAACTGACAGCGGTAGAAAACCTAAAGAAGAATTATTACAATTATTTACTATTAATAGAGTATCATGGCAGTTATAAAACTGCCGAAATGTTTCATTAAGAAACAGACTAGCACTGCCTAATATAGACTGAGCTACTAATATAGTAACGGCTCAATATGGTCTCTGGAAGTCATCAACGGGATGTAAGTTAACATAAACAGATGGCGATATGTGAATATTATCACATATCAGAAGAGGGAACAGAGAAAAGAATTTAGGGATGGAAACAATTTAGCACATCTTTTCTCCTGATGAATCAAATTTATACAATGTAGATACTATCTTTCTCTTCTCAGCATGTCAGGCTGTCGCATCAATTTGAACATTTGGTCCTTCAGGATGAAAGATTTGAGACCTGCGCTGAGGTTGTCCTGGGACTAGTCTGTTTTCGGCTGAAGGTAAAGCAGCTAAGACCTCCTATTTCTTCTGTCATGTTTTATAGCAATACAATAACCTGCAATTGAATATAGTCTTTGTAGCTAATATACTTAATTATTTTTTAAGGAAAGTAAAGGGAGTTTATGTAGATCAAAGCAGATTAAAGAAAGAAGCTTAAGAAAATTTTGTTAAAAATTAATCAAATGCCTAAGAGAAATTCAAGTATATTAGGGTATGGAAATACATAGTCAAGGCAAACAAATGGTCTACCCAGTCATACAAAATGACTGTTATATTCTATGCTTGATGGGCTTTGATGAAGATGATTGTTTTAATATATTTCCCTAGACATTTGTATATGATGTGTTAGTGTATATGCATGTATTAGATGTTTCTTGTCAAGTTAATTTTATATGTGTGTATATTTAATATACAATTGTGTGTATATATATATATAATGACTATCATGGATGAAGATTAGAGTAGCAAACACTTTTTTGCTGTTTTCCTTAAAGAATACATTTTCATTTATAAAATCATACAGTCAGACTGGGCAAATTGGAGCAAGATATGAGTAAGAACAGGTTGCATAGAAGGCCAGCTTCCCAACTGCCCTTGGCCCCGGTCTGCTTTTTTTTGCTGAACATGACCCTTTTCCCCCCCTTGGCCTTTCATTCCCCAAAATCTGTGTAAGTGCCAGGTTCATTGACGTAGAGACCTTGCCTGACAGAAAGTAGAAAACTCACTGCACTCAGATCGTAAGAGCTGCAGTAGCTGGGAGGGTTCACTTGTTTAATGAGACATTAAAAGGGGATCGATGTCTTGTTTTAGGTAAAGAATGCATTTAATAGAGGAGCTTGCAACTAAAGTCTCTGTAAAGGGCTGGATTGTGACACTGAATGTGAACACCTAGCAATAATGGTAGTAACAGCACTGGTGTTTTCTAGTTCACACGATACCTAAATGAGCTTTTAGCTTTCCTGAAGGCTCACACGCACATCTTTTCTCCTTCTGGGTAGTGCGGTATTACTACTTTTCACAAATTCTTTTCTCATTCAGTTGCCCCAGTTACCTTAGTTTGATGCAATTGGCTGAAGGAGCTAACAAATATTTAACAATAAGGTAATGGTGAATTCATCTGGAATAGGAAAATGGTTTTGTGTGGATTTATGTTGTTTAAAATAAAATAAAAAAAAAAAGGATCTGTTGCTAGGAAATCAGACAGACTACAGAATGTGGAGTTTTTCCAGTAAGTGGAAACATGAATATAATTTCTTTCCTAACAAGAACTTTTAAAAGATGTTGAGGAATAGGTTCTGTGGCTTTTATTGCTCAATAACAAGATGTTGGTTGCAGTCTGCTCTCTCACATGGAACAAGCAAACACAAATTTTGCAGATCCAGAGACAGCTGTTAGTCAGTGCTCTACATTTACTTTAAAGGAACAGTCCTGGTGAAATAGAGCATAGCAACACAGGAGTTGTCACTTTTGATCAGACCAGTGGTTCACCCACATCTGTTCTCCTGTCCCTGATGATCCAGAGGAATAAATCAGATCTACAGGGAAAGACAATTTTACAATAGGGTGTAAATATTGGACACCTAGCTGAGAAATTTTTGGACAAGTGGTAGACTAAAGGCGTGATTCTGCTGAAAACCAATGTTGAAACAGCAGCGTTTTCATCGCTTGCCTCCCCTGTCCAAAAAAAAAAACCCAAAACTAACAAGCATTTAAATGAAGAGTGTTTTACAGTTATTCTTGCAGCTTTATTTGTTTTTTAAATCACTCTTTCAAAAATCTTCCCATGATTTCTGTAATTCGTATTAAAATGCATCTTAGAAGTAGGATACTTGTAACTTTTATGTAGTTACAGTAGGACTAAGGGACAGGGGACTTGAACTGTAATGCTGCACAGCTGTAAAAGTATGATATTTTTTTCCTCCTTTGTTCTTGAGAAATCCTTTTTAGTTTTTTTCCTTAGCTGTAACTTTTAATTTTTTGCCTTTCACATTGTTGAGCAGATGGACTAATAATCTGACTTTCATATTATAACTATTTCATCAAATATGTCATGCCAAAGGGTTAATTTTTGGTCTCCTTGTCATGTCTGCAGATTAATGTAAGTCAAGCTAGTCATTTCTCCAAGGGGGTAGGAATACTGTCTTATTGAAGCTGACAGACTCAATCAGAGCTGGCTGCTGGCTTCTCAAAGCTCTGGGAGAGGATTAGGCACCACTAACTTCAATTTGATGTGATGCCTGAGTGTCACAGCAGCCCCTGGGTGCAGCTGTGAGAGTAGAACAGAAGAAAGATATATAAATCTTTCTCCTCCCTCCCGTCACCCCTGCCAAGGGCATTAACTTAACATCATATAACCGCTTGTATTGCCTAAAAGTTAGTGCTATGCATTTCGTATTAAAGGCAAGGATCATCATTTTAATGATGGATTACCTTTGATAAGAAAGCAGTATATTGTTGTGATCAGTGACTGACCCATAATGGGTGGGGACTTGCAAAACACCGAAGTTAGTCCTTTTCTTAGTTAGGAGCGTTGAAGTTGCATAAATATCTCCTACAAGACTAAGGCTAAGCCATGAATTTCAGGCTCTCATCCAAATTCCCCAACAACTTGCGCTAAGTCAGAACAAGGTTTTGACTTTGGTTCAGCTCTAACTCAATATGATTCAAAGCCATAAGAATAATACATTTACCCTCAGTGCTAATGGGAAACTGTGTCTCCCTTATGCTGTGTTTTTATATGGAAAAGGCTAAGCAGGCAAGTCACAACTGCGCAGATTTGAGAGAACGTGTCTTCTGATATGGATGTTTTCAAGACGACCTATGCCGCTACAGTAACAAAACCGCTGCTGAACAGACGGGTTTGTCCATTTGTGACTCTTTTACCGCAGTCAGCGTTCAGTAAGGGAACACTGCGGTAAAAGCGCAGATACTCCTAGCACCTCTTGCAATTCTGTGTTACCAGCAGTGTAATAGGAAGAGTAAAGGCTAAAGTAGCTAAGATAGTTCCCCAAAGAATAAAATTATAGCTCTCAAGATCAACATGGTATATCCTAAGCTATTACAGCAAACTGCCCAGCAAAGCTGAAGCCATCTCTTGGTCTGCTGTTATAAAAGTTAGACAGATGGGTTCCTTTAATTTGGGTAACAAAGACTGTCAAAGATAGGCAGCTAGCACTTCATCCTGTGTGGCCAAATCAGACAAAAATCCCAAGATTTTTGGGATGCCTTCTTTCATTGTTTTCATTTAAAGCAATTTACTACCATTTTTGAAAATCTGATGACATCTTTTGTTTTATTCTCAAATGCTGATGGACATGAACTAGGAAAACCGTTGATGCAATATTAGCTGAACCTGCAAAAGAAGCAGTACTCCTCCGTGCAGTCCTATTTCTTTTGAGAGCTGATATTAAGAGCGTACAGCTGCTGTAAGGGAAATCCTCACGTTCGCTATTTGAGCACAAGGAGAATGAAGTACACTAGAAGGGGATAAAATTAAATAATGCATGCATGTAGAGTCCCTCTGACCTTCTGCAAGATATCTAACATTTATATCTTTGTTTCCCGGAATGCAGAAGACTGTTCACTTCCAGTGGGAGGGTCAGTTAACAGCATTTTTAAAATCCCTCTCCCCAAACCCACTCTGTAGGATTCTGTGGCAGACACTTCCTATAGAACTTGAGGCAAATACTCTTTTAGGGTTACTACTGATAGTATGAAACTTACTTATGCCAGGGATACATGACCTTAACTATTTCGTAAGCAAGGGTAAGATTTCCATCTTCACATTCAAGAGGCTCTCTCACAGCAGCCATGCTTAAGTGAAGACTGGAAGGTTTGTTTTACCAATGTTAGTACAGTTCATTGCAAACGTCCTGCCACGTTTGTTTGATTAGATCTAAGAAAACTGTAATGAAATGGATGCAATAATGAATGCTTTTACATGAAGCTACATAGCTCACGACCTTAGGTCACAAAAAAGCAGTCAGCTATCACAAATGGCCCAGTGTGAACACTGCTTCTAAACCCCAGTTAATCCATAAATCTCTTTGTGGCTGAAAAATTATCTCTTGTGCTGTCATCTTTTTGTAATCCTTTGATGGCAAAGCACTGAGAGATGAGAAAGTGGCTGCGTGTTACTGGTGGTACTTGGGCTTGGCTGCTTGGTGGGATTTACATATTCCAAACTTGCTTCTGAAATTCATCACCGTATCCATTGAATTACAATGATTTCAGGGTTCAAATGAACTAAATAAGGCGCTTCTTAAAAGCATAAATGAGGCCAAGAAGATTCATCTGGTCCCGTGCCACCTGCGAGAGAAGTTTGTGCTACGTTTTGCTATTTGTTCCCGCACAGTGGAATCCACCCACATCAAGTTTGCCTGGCAGCACATCTCACAGCTAGCAACTGATCTTCTGAAAACATGGGAGCAAAAGCACCACCAGCAGTAACAGCAGTGAAGTAGCAGTGGGGAGGAGGTAATTAACTGGCTTTCTCTGTGTTGCCAAGTTTTATTTTAGGGGCAGGTGGGAAAGTCAAATTATGAAGGAAAAAAATAGAAAACCTGTTGTTATATAGCCCAGCTGCAGTAGCAAAATCCTTGCCAGCAAGTTGTGTTGTAACCTTAGTCATCCCTTCTCTGTACTACAGTTTCATCTTGCCATGGCCCACAGCTATGGGGGCTCGAGCTCTCATTTCTTACCAGTTTGCAATCAAGAGCATTTATTGAACCAGGCAATGGAAATGGAAGGGTTAGTGCTCCCTCCGTTGTCCCCATTAACCTCTAGCACAGCCACTCCTTTCTTCACAGATGAAACTGTGAGGTGTTACAACCAACTAATTTAACATGACTATGACTTCAGAAGGAATCCAAGTTGGGGGAAGTTCAGTAACCTGGTTATAACACTGTTCAGGTCCTGTCTAAACAGGCACGCGCAAATGTTGTTGTCATGATTTGGGGCACTATCGTGTCATGACATGTTTGCTGCAGTAATTTTGTAAACGAAGTTCGGACCCCAAGACTTCATTCATTATATTGCCAGATCAGGGGGGAGTGAGCACTAAATCAACGCTAACCGTCCTTATGGCAGGTTCTCTACTTTCTTCTAAAGGGTTTGCTTTTAAAACAGCCATTTCGTCAAATCTCAGCAAATAGGTTATGCTGGCTATTGGTTTTCACTTTGATGATTCATAATGAGGCCTCTTAAAAGCTCCTTCATAAGAGTTTTGTCAAAAGCCATGTGCTACGTGGTAACCTGTATTTTTAACCAAGTTATTATAAGCAGTGATTACTTGAAAATAATCCGTAAGCTATGTTCTGTGAAATAGAGTTGTGATTTCTTTTTATGGCTACCATTCTGCTTACTTCATTGTGTAATAAATCTTTGACAAAATGTGCTAAGAAATGTGATGGCAAAAATGTTACTCTTCGTTTCTCAAATCAGCTAACAAACAAGATAACAAATTACAATAAAAGTAGAAATTAAGAGAACTAACCCCCAAAATACGCTGTGGTGCCCCCATCCGTGGTTTTCTTCCATTAACAGTGATGCGTGGAATATGAAAATATTGGGAAACAATTAACCCTCAGAGAAAGTCAAACAATGTGTACTTGACACAAACCATTGATACGTCATCCTGCCGAAGGCAGGAAAAGAGGTGAAATGAAAGTCAGAAACAATATCTGACTGTAATAAGCACTTCTGCCATTTTGAAATCATAAATTCCAGACAGTTATTTCTATGTAAATAAGAACAAAATAAATAGCTACTCCAAGAAAAATAATCTGTAGGAGTCATTTCTACAGTGCATTTGTTTTAATCTTTTCCTTCTACTGCTCATATTAACTTCTAAAGCATCTTGAACAACTGGCACAATTATTCAGCTTTCTTCCTCCGTCCCTTGCAAGTATACTTCCTACATTTGGGAAGTTGCAAGGAGACCGTGAAACGTGCACCGGGACAGTTAATTTGGCACACAGTCTGCTCCTACCCACTGTCTTTCCAGAAGGGATTAAAGAAGCTGACTATGGACCAGGTGGATTTTTCTGGTGATTCCTAATCACCGCATTTCTGCAGGGCAAACTGGGGAAGGGTTAGTATTAATGTGTGTGCAGGTGGTATGTAAGAGATGTGCGCAAATCCCGACACTTAGGAAAAACTGACCAAGCTCTGCATTTCCAGCAGGTCAAGCTATGCGACTAGGGGAGGCGATAGCATACCACCCTTCTGTAAGACTAGCCAGAGGCTACGTTATCCACCCAGATGGAAAAGCTGATTACTATTTCTCTAAGGAATTGATTTCACAGGTAACAGATGAAGCAAGGGATGACAAATTAATCTGACAAAACCAGGTAATACTCAAGCAGGTGACTGAGCCATTCCACAAGAGACTACTCTCAGCTACAGTATCAGAAATTTTGATAGCATCGTTCTCTTTAGCAGAACCAATATGAAATTAGGTTTGTCTGTAGTAGCACAATGCAATAGATTGGTAGACTGAAGATAGCAGAAAATGCTGGCAGTTGTTTCCTTTCTCTGTTATTAATTTATTTAAAACAACATTATTCAGTTCTCATGACTTGGGAAACAATGTTCATCCATAGCAAATATGGTCCACACTGATACAATTTTACAGCTTTTAGATTATGAAAACTCTAGGAGCCAGAGAAGGATTGCACCTTATCTGAGACAGACCAGTATTTTGTATGTGAAATATATAACCAGGTCTGTCCAGGAAAAAAAAAAAAAAAAAGAGTTCCTATTCTGATCAAAACTGTCATAGAGTAAATCCGGGATAATTCCACTGAAACGAAATGGAGTTGCTTTGGGCTTATGTGGCTATAACTGAAATTAAAATCTAACTAGGAAGTATTGGAAAAGAAATGCATAAGGTAAGGCAACACTAGACTGAACGTGAGCGGATTTTGGTGGAAACCCTCTCCATGGAAACCAGAGCAGAGGTGGATGATGCACGCCTGTTTGAGCCTCAAACTGCTGTAGAACAGGGACGCGGGCAGGATGCACATCCAAACCCAGGAGAGGTGAATGTTCCCAACAGCCCAGAATTAGACATAGGTTCCTCTAGACATCTGTGGGAAAATGTTGCCAAAACAGACATTCAGTTAAACATTTTTCAGCATATGGGTATCAGTTTTAGAAGAGGCTGTTGTCCAGATACCGAAACTCCTTTTGGCAAAGAATTTATAACATTTAATTTAAAATGTTATAAATGCGGTAAAAGCTACTTTGTTTTTGTTTTTAAAGAAGTGACATAAGTAAATCTTCTAATAAACAGCAGTGACAAGACCCATGGAATTACATTTCCCTGGGGCCAGCCCAATAGAGAAACTTGAAATTCACAGTTCTAGTTTTTCTGAAATTCTGGGATGATTTGAATATGTAATTGGTGAAGGCCGCCTCGGTATGCAGTCCCTCGTACCCTCCTTTCCCCACGTGATAATTCCTTCGTAGAGTATCAATGATAGGTCATCTGAAAACGAAAATCTGGACTATGTAATCAACTCAAGAACAAAAGCGTTGGACATTTTCGAAAGAAGAACGTAACTGCTGCTGTTTCCATTCTGTAGCTTTGCAACGTATCTGTGAGAAATACTGTATTTATGAAGTTAATACGTGAATCTGGATTTACTGTGCCTTGTGTGCAAAAGCTAATGCAATCTGTGCCGATTAATACCGTTTGATGTTAAAAATAATTACAAAATTGCAGAATTGTACTTTAGTAGAATGTCTACATCTCAAGGGAGACAGTGCGGCTACTGGAGAAGGAGGGGAAAAAAGTAACTTTTTGGTAACCATACGTATTTTTTTTTAAACCAGTCAAGTGCTAGTACAATACTTACATTCTTAATAATGACAGATTATAAATGTATTTTATTACTGATGGTGAAATATTGAAAAGATAAGTAATTATGAGAGTATTGCTAATATATTTTACTCTGAACTGCGTTATCCTTCTTAAATTTCTAATTTTCTCTTGCCTTTACATAGAAGATTCTGCTCATGGTTGTTGTGGTTTTTGTTGTTGCTGTTGTTGCCTCCTGTAAGGACACCGTATGTGATGAGTAGTACTCACATTGCAGTTGCCTTACAACAGCAGTCTAAACCTTGAGACATGCGTAAACTTGAATTGCTGAAATACAGGAGCAAATGAGAAATAAAACCCAGAACCCTGAAGACCAGGGCGGTGGGGGCAGATTAAATAATAATAACATCTACATAGCAGATGTAGAGTCTGTATGAGCTAAATGGAAAAATGCTGAGACGTTTAGTGCATTTTTTTTATCATTTGTGAGCTCTCGAGTTCCTTTAAAATCTGTATCCAAAGCCTATTAAACAGACATGTAGGTTTTCATTGGCAGCATTAATAAATGGAAACAGAACTATTACTGTCGTCTGTCTTTGCTATTAACCAAGCGTCTCCCATTTTATTCATGCCACATGTGCTGTAAGGGGTCCAGCTTCCCCGCTCAGGTCACAGCAGTGCTCTGCTTTTCACCATCGGTGACTTTTTCTCAATGTGTTCCTCGACCCCATTACTTTGCACATGAGAGTTCCTGCCGGAAGTTTCCTCCTCAGCGACAGGAGTCTGAAAAACGCCCGGCCATAACTGGGGTCGACGCTGACCCTTCCGTAAAGTTCCGCACGGTCCTGCAGCTGCAGCTGCCGCCGGAGCCAGCTGCCCAGCTTCGGCTTTGGTTTGCAGCTCAGGCGCAATCAGGTAGGACAAGGCAGTGGCCAGTTTCACTAGCCCTGCCGCGCTGCAGCCACTGTTCCTGGTGTGA